AATTTCAAGATCACCTCAAGAATGGAACTGATGAACACAAATGACCAGAGGAGTTGTGGGATACCGTCAAGGACATTGTACCTAAAACAAAAGGTCATCAAAAAGACAGGAAAAAGAAGACATAAGTGGATGCGGAAGAGACTCTATTACTCTTTAACAGAGTAGCTCAAATGAATGGAATACACGAAGTAAAAGAGTAGCACAGAAAGTTTTAAAGGGTGCCCTGAGAAGACAAAGTAAAGTCCAATAACAAAATGTGTAAAAACCTGGAGTTAGAAAAACAAAAAAGAAGAAATACTTCATGTGTCTCAAGCTGAAAGAATTGCAATAAAAATTAAAGATTTGAGTTCAGGTAATGAATTCTATGGGCAAAATACTGAACAATGAAGGAAACAAAACAAGAAATTGGAAGGGTTACCTGGGGTCACTGGACCAAAGATAACTGACCTGCCGTTTCAGGATGATGTAGCATATGATCAAGAGCCAATGGTACTGAAGTAAGAAGTCCGAATTACACAGAAGGAACTGGTGAAAAACAAACCTACAGAAATTGACAACACACGGATGCAGGGCTGGGGCTACTCATCCATCTATGCCTAGCAATTTGAAAGAATGATACCTGGCCAATTTACTGCAAGAAATCCATATTTCTATTCATCCAAAGAAAGGTGATCCAACAGAATGTGGCATTATTGGACAATATTAATAATATCACATGCAAGTAAAATTCTTCTGAAGATAACTTTTAAAAACAACTGCAGTGGTATATTGACAGGGAAGTCAATAATTCAATCTGTTTCCAGCAAAGAATGTGGAATGAAGGATCTCACTTACTGGTATCAGATGGATCTTGGCTGAAAGCAGAGAATACCACAAAGATGTTTCCTTTGTTTATTGTCTACGCAACGTCATTTGACTGTGTGGATCATAACGCATTATGGATAACGTTGCAAAGAATAGGAATTCTAGAACACATTGTGCTTGTGCAGAATCTGGACATAACTGAGAGGCAATCGTCAGGAAGAACTAGATCCTGCAGAGTTTAAAATCAGAAAGGCTGTCTGTCAGAATTGTCTTTTCTTTCTTCACCCTCCCCCAACGGTTTTATCGGTATAGAATTCATACATCATATAATAGTTCAATCACATCAAGAAGAGTTTTACAATCATCACCACATTTTTTGAACATTTTCTCCATTCTTGTACTCATCATTATTAGCTCCCCATTTCCCCCCAGTCTCCCCTGCCATATTCCCAAGGAATGAAGGATCAAGGAACCATTAAGCCAGTGGCTGTCTCTATGGATTTCATATACAGAAAAACATTATTTAAAAAAACCCTAAACAAAAATTAACAATAGGAAAGTCAAATTGTATCTTTTCTTTTATCAACTTTTTGTCGTGAATTGGGCGAGGGCTTACAGAGCAGACGCTTTTTCTTTCAACAACTCATCCTCATGGCGTTCCGTGTGCTCAGCTGCCACCTGCGCGCAATGGGACACCGCTTACCCCACTTCTTCCCTGGGTTTGCTGTTTCCATTCCCTTCACGAACCCTCTGAAATCTGCGCTTAGATAAACAGTGCGCTTACATGGTTGGGTATTCTGAGGTGTGTGCATCCCTCTCTAGTGCTGTTATTTTCAGCCAAGTAGCAGACAGGTCTATTGTTTGTCTGAATATTGAGCCATGGGGTGTGTTCGTTCCCAGATGTGAAAGGTGTCTGTGTGCCATAGTAGGGTGGTCCTGCCAACTTCTATCCACCAGTAAGCCTAGACTGACTTATGATTTTGAGTTTTGCCCCACATTTTTCTTCCACTGCATCCACACTTTCGAATGGGACCCCTCTCTGAGCAGTTAGTAGTGGTAGCCAGGCACCATTGCCTTCTTCTGGTCTCAGGGTCATGGAGACTAATGCTCATCTGGTCCAGTAGACCACTGAAAGAATTATCACCATTTGGTTTTCTCCCATCTTGCTACCTCCAGACAGAAGCAGAACAGTAGTTGCACTCATAAGCTTGAAAGACCCAGTTCCTACTCACCAAAGTAGAATATAGAGCATTGTCTTTGTGGACGATATTGTGTCCATTGACGTTGGTGTCTCCGGAGACAAAATTGTATCCTTACACCATA